TGATGAGAGGAACTCCTTGCAGTTCAGTGCACGCATCTCTATGGTGGAGGTAGCTGCAATGAAGAAGGAGGAACAAGGAGAAGCCCGAGTTATGGCTTTGAGAGGAAGTCTGAGCAGGTATGTGAAGGACCTGGAAATGCAGCCTGGATGGCATCAGCTTCCAAACGGCATCGTGGCATACAGTGACCCTGTGGCAATGTCATTGACTGATCCCAGAGGACAAATTGAAAAGCACCTGGAAGTCGAGGATGACTTTGGTGAAGGAGAATGATGGCATGTGGAGCCAGTTGGAGAATGTCGATGACTTCACGAACCTGGGAGAGACAGCCTTCAGGAAGATTGGCGCAGGAGGACCACAAAGGACGATTACTTTCTTTGCGCCCTCTATCATGGAGGACTATTGGGAGCAAGAGTCCGAGGTGCCAGTGAGGCCATTCCCAGAGGAGAAGAGGCGAGAGCCGCAAGGAAGGACCGATTGGTCCGAGGACGACAAGGAAGATGAGGAGCAGATGGAGCTTCAGATGGAGTCACACGACATCGAAAAGATGGTGGTGGCACAGAGGCCAAATGAGGTTGAACTCGACGAGATCATCTATACAGAGAAGATGTCTGTAAAGGACTTGCAGATAGCATGCAAAGAACGCCAGTTGCCCTACAGTGGAAGCAAAAGGCGATTGCTGGACAGGTTGATTGCCTTCAAGATCAACTTGGAGAACAACATGAAGTTGGAGGTGGCCAGCAAACTGTTCAAGGAGCAGGAAAGGAAGCCATTAGCGCTTGGCCAACCACGACTCCCATCCCTCAAGGAGCAGGAGACACATTTTGTGACTCGTCTTCCATATGCTCCTTGGTGCCAAGCTTGCGTGGCGACGAGAGCGAAGGAGGACAAACATGAGATGAGGGACGACAAGCCTGACCAAGGAAAGAATGTGATCCAGATGGATTTCTTCTACACCTACACTGGGGAGGAGAAGCGCATGGATGAGGCCCCGGTGGACAAAGTCATGGAAAGGTCAGACCAATATGGGACTTGCTTGGTCATGGCATCGTCAGAGACCAAGGCGGTGCACGTTGTCCCCGTGCCATCAAAGGGCACAGCCAGCCTCAAGACAGTGACCGAGGAGGTGGTGCGATTCTCTCTCAAAAACTCATCGATGGATGGCTGCATCTTCCAAGGAGATGGTGAAAGGGCCATGAGGCAGCTGTTGAGATCTGTTCAACAGGTCAGGGCCATCATGGGCCTGCCGTGTGAAGTCAGGATGACAGGGAGCAATCAGCACGCCTCCAATGGACAAGCTGAACGAGCAGTACAGACTGTGCGGAGGATGGCCAACTGCATTCGCAACTTTGCAGAGTCAAGGGCTCGCCTGAGTATAATGGGAAATATGCACATCTATCCCTGGTCGTTCAGGTATGCTGGATTCCTGCTGAACAGGTTCAGAGTGCTGGAGAAGGTGAACAAGACCTCCTACGAGTTGGCTACAGGGCATGGCTATCGCGGCAAAGAGATTGGTGAAGTACAAGGTGAGCGACCTGTTCGAGAGAGGAGTCTGGGTTGGAAAGCACAGTTGGAACGACAACCACATCGTTCTCAGCCCAGAGGGAGCTTTTGAGGCCCGGACAATCAGGAGATTGGCAGCAGAGGAAGCCTTCATTGCCACGGACATTGTGGTGGCAAAGGGACTACCATGGCGCTACAGTCCACAAGGGATCCTCATGAAGCACGCCGGACAGGCACAGACGTATATACAGCCACAGAGGAGGAGATGAAAGCCATCACGGATGCAGTTGCAGCTGGTGTAGTCACACCGGCACCAGGACTAAAGCCACAGCCAGTGACGCCTGGAATGCCAACAACAAGTGCAGCACCACAAACACCAGCGCCTTTGCCAACTACACCCCGGAAGAGAATTGCTGAAGGAGAAGCAGAGGAGCCAGAAATGAAGAGGCTGGACACGTCGGATTCGCCGAGAAAAGGCCATGACAAGAGGGAGTCAGAAGCGATTGACTCAGGCACGGAAAAGAAGCAGAGGACAGAAGAGGAGACAGAAGTAGAAAGGGCTATGAGCTTGCCATCAAGTGCCATGGCAGTTGAACCAAGAGGAGAAGGTGGTGAAGTTATGGCATCGAGTTCCTCAAGCAGCCTGGCAAGGCTCTACCCTCCTCACTATGCTGGGATCCAGGCCGTTGAAGTACATGGTGACGAGGAGGTTGGACAAGACCTGATCCCAGAGGAGGTGAACGAGGAGCTGTTCGCAGGATATGGAGGAAATGAAGATGACGAACCGCCGATCACCAGTGAAGAGCACCTAAACCTGCTGGATGAACAGGCGAAGAAGAATGAAGTGGAGAGAATGCTCAAAATGACAGCAATGCGGGAGTCAAGTAAGGATGAGGTGCATGAGAGTCAAGGATACACGATCTCCACCAAGTTTGTGATCACTTGGAAACATCGATTGGAGCAGGGGGGCTGGTTTCGGAGAGCACGCCTAGTTGCAAGGCAGTTCAAGGGCAGTGTTGATCTTGACCAGACATTTGCCCCTACGTCAATCATGGTTCTGCCCAAGATGCTCGTCCACTTGATGCTAAATGTCTTCAAGCACTTTAGAGCAATGACCCTGGACATCAAAGATGCATTCCTGATGGCAGATCAGCCAGCAGAGGAGCGAGCTTTTGTGGAGTTGAATGGGACCATCTACAAGCTCATCA